AAGGAAAATACATTTTAAACATTTTATAACTTCAATTTGTATTATAATTTAAGGTTTTTACCTGAAGGTTAGTATTTTCAACAAATCATTATTACCTATACTTGGTTTAGTTTTTTTTTTACAAGTCTTAACCGGTTATCTTAGTAATGAGTTCATTTGAACTGTGCAAATCAATATCATATCTATGTTAAATAAGATTGTAAGTACTAAAATCCAAGTAAAACAAACATTGTAGTATCAAAAGATATTATCGTTTCTGTAACTACTTGTGCCATGCAATAATAACGACATTTCGTTTAAACATGGGCCAATTCTTACAAACTATTAAGTTAAAAAAGCCAAATACGTAGTTCAAAAGTATATACAATAAGGTAGATGCTATAATAGTTATAATGGTATGTAAAAATTGTTGTATTTTATATACGTTCGAGTTGTCTTCTATAGACATTGTATGTTTCTACCATATTGTAAAGTATTTTATTATGTTGTTTTCCGGTGGTTTTATAATATGTTTTTTGTCGTACTGATATGCTTTGCATTTTTCATGAACAAGCCTAGCATTAAGCGTAAAAATGTATTACAAATTTAGTTTTGTGGTGTTAACTTTTATACACTTTCATAATTATATGGTATGTGAAACGCCTTGCAATATAAATAAAAATTACATTAATATTTAAAATAAAATTCGCTTGTATCCTGGCTGGTCTAAACAATAATAGAAATTGTATTGGAAGTCGAACCCGTATGAGTTTTGGTCGCCTATCGTGTCAGTACAATCATTTAAAGCATAATTTAAACTTTACAAACTACAAATATTATGTTTTTATTAGTGAAAAATTAATTAATAAATATCCAAACCCGGATTTTTTGAACGAAGATAACGATATTAATGAAATCGTAACTGAAGACATAATTCAAACATATTTCTGGTATAATAACAGACGGAATGAATTTTTCGGATCATCATATAATTAAAGCTTGTGCTATAAAACTACCTCATATAAGTTTTTATTATTTGACGACGAATTACAATTTATTGACTGATAGCAATTTTGAAATATTATAAAACTACAAATTTTAAGTTATGAAAATATTATTATTTGTTCTGTGTAAAATAAAAAATGTATTTTAATTTATTAGTGGTTGTTTTGTCTCCCTCAATTTGTGTTAATTGATTTATGTTTTTTTCCGTATGATTGGTGTTTCATCTAAATTACTTTTACTGTTTTGATTAACAAGTTCATTACAATGATACAATACTTAATAATGAAACTAGCATATCACGACACATTGTCTGAGTTTGTAAATATTTAGTTAATACTATAATAATTAAATTAAATATTTGAATTTAATACGTTTGTTTAGCTTTAAATTTTATGATTTGTATTTTCGATTCATTTTTCGAAGGTTATGGCTAATTGATAATGAGCTGTCCATAATACCACTTCATAACATTAAGACATATAGCTATCGTTAACACATAACATATAAGCAATAAATATTAAATATAAAGTTTGACTACAAATATATAGTACAAACAAACAATTCCTATATACTAATAGCTTTGCTTTAGTGAAGTAGATTTCTGATAATATAAAATACTTGTTATAAGTATAATAACAACAATAAAACATTTATTTATTACTCTTTAAGAAAGAGGTTTCTTACAATATATTTACATTTTTTATGTGTTTCGAAAACAAGTCTATTAGATTAATTAAAGCTCTTAAACTCTTATTGTAATTATGTTGATTTAAACATTCATTTTCATATTTATGCAAATAGGTTTTTTCTAACATCACATATTACATAAATTCACGTATTTATTGTGTTGTTTACATGTAGTATAAAAAACATTTATTTTAAAACACAAAAAGACAAACACATACATATAAAAAAAAATAAGACGTATGAAATGATTTAAAAAGAATATTGAACAACCTAATAAACATTTAAAACATACATTGTCTGTATAATTACAAAGAAAAACGGTAAATTTATGTACTGCAAAAAATGATAAAATATCCTTATGGGGTTATTCGTTAGGGTGTAGTGAAACAGCTTGTGTTTCTATTGGGACATGATAATTATTATTAGTTTGTGGTATATATTTTAAAATATCCAATCCGACGAGGTAGTAGTCTTCTTTGATCACACTTTTGTAATACAACTTAAGTTTATCCCTAATATAAACGTATTCGTCGTAAGAATATTGTGACTTATCCAACAAGTTGTTGTATCTGTTTAATAAATAATAATATCTCATATTAGATCTTCTGCTAATACTACATATTTTATATATATAAAACTCCGAAAAATTCAATTTGCCTTTTACCATACTAGAAATACTTTGAAATATGTCTTCAGTAAATTGTTCGTTAATATCGTCGTCTTCGTTCAAAAGATCCGGGTTCGGATACTGATTAATATGTTCAAATACTAGTGTTTTAAATTGCACTATTGTACGATATATATGTCTGCGATATTTGCGGTAATTTTTGGATTGGACTGTAGTTGTGTTTAAATAAAGTTTTACCATGTCAGCCAAACCATTGGTCACGCATACCAACATCTCATTTGACTCTCTAAACGCACTATCAAGTTGCATAAAACAAAACGCAAAATTAACTTTTGTACTGGTATTGTTTTTACTACTATTTTGACAACTTCTCACAAAGCCCAACCAAGTGCTCCTGATCAATTTCAACCGTTGAACATATCTGCAACTTAAGAATAATATGAAGTATTTGAGAGTGTTGTAATAGTTGTCTTGGCGGATCTCCGAGTTTATTAGAACATCCATATCAATATCATCCTTGATCCGTATGCCCTTAATGTGTTTCCAGCCCGGCTGATCGCGAATATAATTTAAAATATCTACCTTTGTATATTCGATAGGCTTTTCACACGCTAGACAATTTGTTTGAAACAATATTAAAAGTAAGATAATAAAATAAACGTTATAATGCATTTTTATGATAAGAAACGGACTGTCGACACGTTGCTAACAAGGTTTAAAATTTTAATTTTTACATTGTGATATTGTAATTCTACTTAAGTGAGTAGAATGAGTATTCATTGTATTGTTAAAACACAGTCGTACAAAACATTTGTTTTTTAAACGAGCTAGGGTGCTCGTTGTCTTTGGGTAGACAAACATGAAACACATATGTTTAAAAGAATTGTATGTAATAATTTAAGGAGTATTTTGAACAAGCTAATAAATATTTAAAACATACATTGTCGCATGCTCCGCATTGAAGCTAGAAAATATTATTTTGGTTATAACACGGGTTGTTGTGAAATAAGTAGTGTTTCTATGTATCATGAAAATTATCATTATTTTGTAGCATATTTTTTATACGGTTCAAAATGAGGACGTACTATTGTTAAACTGATTGTACTTAGACAATATGTCAAAAACTCATAAAGGTTGGATCAAAAATGCAATATTTAATAATATGATATCCCGAGTCTTTTAATCCATCAATTAAATTACTTACAAATTCAGGTGGTGGTTTTATATCATCAAGTAAATGTTGAAAACCAATGTAGTATACGTGCAGTTATTATTGAATGCAATCCATTGTGGTTGACAAATTGCTATTTGATAAACGCATTCTGCAAAGACAGTATATGGCAAGATTAACTTTGAGATAACAAGTAATTGCTTCAGAATATCCAACTATTTAATAAAATATGCATATATTTTACAAATGTTTAAATATTTATCTGATGCACAAATTTATCCACGTTTGTCGAAGAAAATATAAAATGTATATTTATTGTTAATGATAAATTTTTAAAAACTACGATTCAATCATTTATATAAAAAAACAATCGTATATATCCATTATCTTATTTTACCTATTATGTTTCTCTATTTCGCCAAGCTTAGATATAGGAACTGATTAAGCATGTCTTTTCACGTTCTTGATACTAAAAATTCAAACTAATACACAGTACACATTTTTCTTTTTCTTTCGCATACATTTATAACGAATTATAAAGCAGCTCTGATATTATTAGGTACTTTACAAGATTGTAATACAACAATATTTACATTCTAATCCTGCCATAGTGATATAAACAAATATTGGCCAGCAATTCATTAATATAAGCCTGGTACATCATTATGTTATCACAATTACATAAAAATTAAATTTGATTATTATTTAAAATATATATATATATATAAATTATATAGAGTGTTCTTTTTTATAGTGAACCACTCATTATCTCATAGGGTTTAACAAGAAATTACATTTTTTTTTCATATTGTCGCATTAAAGAACAACCACTAGATCGCGCCACACCTACATATTTTCCTCAATAACGTTCAGCGTGACGAACACATTTTCTTATTGACCATGAGCCAAAACACATATCCTTGTCAATAGGTTATATAGGATCTTGTTGAAACCGTTTTTTTTCCGTCAAAGAAATCGTATCGAACTCGTTTACTAACTGACTTAGGTCTAAGATTAAAAAAAAAAATTACATGTCGATAATATATTGTTTTATTGGCTAGCATTACAAAATATTCGTTATCTTATTGAATCACTTTATAATTTAATTATAATTTGTCCGGTTGCGGACATAAAATACAAGTAAATAAATGAAAACAGATATAGCACAATAATAAAAAACAAATAAAACATAACCGTTTCAGTAACGTATCAACTTTAGCAAAGAGGCATATCCTATGTTGTCCATGTTATAAAAAAAAATAATAATAATTATCATGGACCATAAGGAAAACAAGTTATTCCACTACAACCTAATTACTTATAACCAAAAATGATGATTTGTCGTACATTAAATTCATCGTTTTTCATTGTAATTAAAAATACAATGTATATTATAGATGGGTTTTAGGTGCTACAAAATTGCTCTTAAATCATTTCGTAAATTTATTTTTTCTTTTGACTGACTTTTGGCGCTTGTTTAAACAGATGTTTTGTTCGGTTACGTGTAAATTAATACAGTTAGTACTCGTGTCATAGTATGGAGTGCAATATAAAATTTTAAAATCTTCTTAGTGACGTGCCAAATGTTCGTTTCATACGTTTAGTTTACGCTAAGTAATGATGTATTGTAAAGTTTATTTTATCGTTTTACTTTTTGTATTTTTCCAAACAAATTGTATGGCATGTGAAAACCTAGAAGAAATAGATAAGTTTGATCTTATAAATAGTATTCGCGCGGAGCATGGCTGGAGAGAAATAAAAGGCATAGTGATCAAGGACCCAATAGAAGGTAAAATTACCATCGAAGATCTAACAGGGAAATTTATTTGGGAAAACAACTACGACAAGGCTGTCGAACACTTCATATTGTTTTTGAGTTGCAGATATGTCCAACACTTGAAAGCGCTCAGGATTACATGGTTGGGCTTTGTCGAAGGTTGTCGTGAAGAAGAAGAGAAAATAAGTTTCACATTTTGCGTTAGTAAACTATATTGTGTGTTCAGAGAGTCAAAACAGATGTTGATTCACATGACAGATGGTTTGGTCGACTTGGAAAAACTTTCATCGAATACATCTCGATTTTATCACAAAAATCGTAGCCTGATAATGAACTTTAAAGAAGTCGTATTCGATCACATTAATCAATATCCAAATCCGGATTTTATGAACAAGGACGACGAAATCAACGAGCAATTTACTGAAGACGTATACCAAAGTATTTCTGATAAAGTTAGACAGCGACTTAATGTTTGGGATAATGAAAGAGATAAAGGTTGTACTATACAAACATCTTCTATGACTTATTTTGATTTTTTGGAGAGATACGATAAATTATTGGATAAGTCAGCATTTTCAAACGATGAATACGTTTATGTTAGTAAACGACTTTATGGGTTTTATGATAATGTAATAGAAAATGATTATTTTAGACTTGGTTTGGATAAGTTAAAAAAATATAAAATCAAATAAATTTTCCTTTCATTACCAAATACAAATACAATTCATTCTACCACAAACTATCTTATAACCAAAATAATGTTTCGACGTTTTTGTTGGTAGTACCTACCAACGTTTAACCAGCATTTTATTGGCATTTTTTTTTTTGTAATAATGGACATATTGTTTGTTGTAAGCTTGTGTTTGTTATATGGGCTTTAAAAAATATGGCAAATATTATAAATCAGAAAATTTTAATTGTTGTAGGTACAATAAATAATAATATATTTCTTTCTAATTATCTAATTAGATATCTATTTAATATATTTCTTTCTAATTAATTTGTCTAATATATTTCTTTGGTGTTGACACAAGATTCATTTTTTTTTTAGGTTTATTTAAATTAATATTTTAATTTGTACACTTAAAATGTTTAAGTTTAAATTATCTTTATTAAATCTTTAATAAAAAAAAACTATAAAATTCAAAATCCATAATAGGTAATTTTTCGTACTGATTTTTTTTTTTGTCAAACTTAAAATAATAATTATGTGTGGTACATGGATACAATTAAAATGAATACTATAATTTGTACAGATACAATCTATTGATTTATTATCTCTTTAAATTAGTTTAAATTCTTTATATTAAAAAAAATGTATTGTATAGTATAAATTGGTAAATTTTAAATCTGTGTTCGGTAATTATTTGTATGGATACTTCAATTTTTTTTCGTCAAATGTTAAAATACAAATTATGTTTGTTAAATCATAGACACATTGTTATTTTACAGTTTAAAACGAATATAAAATACTGTCAGTTTAATAAAAATCGCAATTTATTTTTTATTTGCTCTATTTAATCCCTATGAGTTATGGAAAGAATCTTTGTTCGCATTTGCAAAATATAAAGTTTTAGGCCACACAATTGCTTGCAAAAAAAGTTATAACGACATAGTTCTTTGTAGTGGTGAAATAGTACTGTACAAGTCCAACAAAACTTTGAATCATAAGATGCAAGTCTCACACTTAGGTATAACATTTTAAAACTATAAATATAATTTTATAAAAAGGAAAATTGGAGTAGGACAAGTTCCATTTTTTCTCCCTAAAATATACATATTTTATTTTATAATAATATATAGTATTTTATATAATTATATATTATTTTAAACTATTATTAATTAGTTGCTGGCCAAAATTTATTTTATATCACTATGGCGGTATTATAATGTAAATATTGTTACATTACAATCTTGTAAAGTACCTAATAATAGCAGAGCTTCTCTATAAATTGTTGTTAATATATACGATACAAAAATTAAGATTTATGTACTATGTATTAGTTTGAATTTTTAGTATTCACAACCGTGAAGCGACATACTTAATGAGTTTCTATATCTAAGTTTGGCGAAAATAAGAAACATAATAGGTAGGTAAAGTAAGATATTGGATAAAGTAATTACTTTGCTTTTTAATATAAATGATTGAATCGCAGTTTTTAAAAATGTACTATTAACAATTAATGTACTTTATTTTTTTTTCAACAATCATGGTTAAATACGTGCATCAAAAATATCTTTAAAGATTTGAATAATATATATTTGTTTTTAATAGTTGGATATTTTGAAGCAATAGCTTGTTATCTCAAAGTTAATCTTGCCATATGATGACTTTGCAGAATGCGTTAATCAAATAGCAATTTGTCCACCACAATGGATTGCGTACAAGAAAAACTGCACGCATACTACATTGGTTTTCAATATTTACTTGAAAAAAATTTATGAAATTCGAAATTCATGTTAGGTATAGATGTTGTAGAGATTTGTATAGATTTTCATTTTTTTTTTGTCAAACTTTAAATTAATAGTTATTTGTTAAATGAGTGGTATATTGTTGTTGTACAATTTTAAAAAAATGTAAAATACTGTACGTTTAATTAATTATCGCATTTTATTTTTTTTATGAATATTAGAAAAATGGGATGAGTAAAAATGGATCATTTCTGATACTACCAGTTAACACCTTAGTTGGTCACGGAGGTAATATAAGAAAGTTACCAACTCCTTAAAAATATTATTTTACAGATCACCTGGGTGGCAAATGTAAAACTAAACAGGGATGTAAGGAACCTATTTTTGGGACACGCTTAAAATGTGTTGCCCATAGTAAACGCATGGTAACCGGTCGGTAAATGGTAATAGATAATAGACTTAGGGACAAGTAAGGGTGTGCTCTAACGACGGTTCTAGATGACACATTTTGATGACCTGAAAACACTCTAAATGGACATTCTAAAAATAAATATAATAGCTCAATATGTTTACAATATTTAAATTTAAATCAAATGTACTTTATACCGTTTCTAACTTCACACCAACAGTTGTTATTGAAAAGATTTATCACAAATTACATTTTATAATGTTACTCTGCTAATTGAATGCGCATGGAGCCAGACCAGAAATAAATAAAAAGGCTTAACGATCCAAATACATGGTAAAATATACACTGGTATTCTAACAAAAAATTTTACCAAAAAAAAAAAAATGTATGATCACAGTAACCGAGAAATGATAATGGAATTTAACGCAATCGTAGATAGGATGATATCCTACTGCTCTAACGGAAAATAATATCTGCAAAGAGAACTACGACAAAGCTCTGCAATGCTTTATATTGTTTTTAAGTTGCAGATATGTTCGACATTTGAAAGCGCTTAAGTATACATGGTTGGGCTTTGTCGACCGTTGTCGTGAAGAAAAGATTACAATTAATTTTGCATATTGCGTTAGTAAACTTTATTGTGTGTCCAAAGAGTCAAGTCAGACGTTGATTCACATGGAAGATGGTTTGGTTGTCATGGAAAAAACTTTCAACCAACACATCTAGTTATTATCACAAATATCGCAGCATAATATTGAACTTTAAATCACTCGTGTTTGGTCACATTAATCGATATCCAAGTCCGGATTTTTTGAACGAAGACGACGATGTCAACGAACAATTAACCGAAGATATATTTCAAAGTGTTTCTGGTATAGTAGGAGACGAAAATATGGATTTTACGAATCATAATATCAATGAAGGTTGCACTATTAAAAGACTAACTAATTTCAGTTATTATTATTTATCGAAGAAGTACAATGAATTGAAGAACAAGTCTCGATATTCAAACGATGAATACGTTTTTATTAGTCTAAGAATTAAGTCGTTTTTCAAAAGTGTAATTGAAGATGATTATATTAAACTAGGTCTGGAACAGTTAAAATCGATACTCCAATGAATTGTCCATTCATCACCAAACAGAAATACAATTGTTTTTTTACCACAAATCAACTTATAACCAAAATAATGTTTTGACGTTCTAGCAGGTACATTTTATTTGCAGTTCTTTGTTTTTGTGTTATAATGGACATATATTGTTTGTTATAAGTTTGTGCTTACGATAAGGGATTCAAAAATATGGCAAATAATATAAAACAAAAACATTTTCTATTGGCTTAAAGTTATAAAAAAAATGATTTGTTTTAGGTATAATAAATAATTTCTATTAATATATACTTGGTTTTTGACACTAGATTTCTATTGGGTTTATTTAAATTAATGCTATCATTTGTACACTTACAATCTGTTGATTTATAATCACTTTAAATTAGTTTAAATTATTTATATTAAAAAAAATGTTTGTATAGTGTAAATTGAAAAATGTTATATCTGTGGTCGATAATTATTTGTATGGATATTTCAATTTTTTTCGTCAAATGTTAAAATACAAATAATATATCTTGTAAATGTGTGATACATTGTTATTTTACAATTTAAAAAGAACATAAAATAATGTTGGCTTAATAAAAATCACATTTTATTTTCACACAAAACATATATATATATATATATATATGATATAGCCCTCTTCAACACTAAAGAAAAACAACTTATCGGTGATATAGGAGAAACTTATCAAAACTCGAACGAAATAAAATACAATTATGGTCTAAACAAGTTCATTACAATGATACAATACTTGAATAATGGACACATTGTCTGAGTTTGTAAATTTTTAGTTAATATTATATTAATTAAATTAAATATTTTAATTTAATACGCTTGTTTATCTTTAAATTTTATGATTTGTATTTTCGATTCATTTTTCGAAGGTTATGGCTAATTGATAGTAAGCTATCATGTGATTTTACACATAAAATATTAGCTAATTATGTATGTGTAGTTTGACTACAAGTATATCACAAACAAACATTATCTATACAAACAGCTTTGCTTTAGTGAAGTAGATTTCTGTTAATATAAAATACTTGGAATATGCGTATTAACAATAATTAAAATATGGGTGGCTATACAAAACAATTGTTTATTACTCTTTGGACAAATAGCTTTATTGTACCTAGATATCTTGATGTAAAGATACGTTTTCATATTTATGCAAATGCATTTTTTCTAACACCAGCATGTACATAAATAAAAACATAACCACACAGTTTAAGAAGAAACATATAAATTCAATTATAGTTTAGGATAATAAAAAAAAAATAATAATACTTATTGCAATCACACAACAAAAATTTGCAATCAGTAGGTGTACAAAAAAAAGACAAAAATAATTATTAATCTAAAATACATTTTAACTTGTAACATCTAACAAACAAACAACAATAAATTTCATAGATTAATTTGTATAGTATCAAGTAAAACCCAAATTGTATTTTAAGTGGATAATAATATTATGCAATTTTAAATTTCTTAACTAAAATTATAATTTTAGGTACAAAATTTATGTACAAGTTTTGGGTATTTTTCTCGACTATTGAGAGATACGGGTAATTTTTTTTTTAAATTTGATCTATCAGTTACGCTTTCTGGTGTATAGAGTTGCTGCAAGAGTAAATCCATTCAGTATTTTAGAAGATGGTGGGTGGTCAAGACACAAAAAAATAAAACACATCATTGAAAACAATACTTTTCCTGCCATAAAATAATAAAATTATCGTTACCAGCGTAATATTAAATTTTTATTTTACATAATTTTAAATATAAAAAGTAACGTGCCTCGTAGTTGTTGGATGTTATAAATGTTTAGTTTATTTTGTATAGACATATGTGTTTCTACCTTATGGTGGTTTTTTTTTAGGTTGCTTTTCTGTAGTTTCTTATGATTATTTTTGGAATACTGATTTGCTTTGCAATGCTTTCATTAATTTATATGCAAATCTTAAATTTAAAAATAAATTATGATAATGTTGTAGATGAAAAACTAATCAAAGAAATAATTAAAATCTTTATTTTCACGTTGTGATATTGCATTTAAAAATACACGTATTCATTTACAACTTCTCACAAAGCCCAACCAAGTGCTTCTAATCAATTTCAATCGTTGAACATATCTGCAACTTAAGAATAATATAAAGTGTTTGAGAGTGTTGCAGTAGTTGTCTTCGCTTATCTGTGACTTTATTAGAATATCCATATCAATTTTATCCTTGATCGTTATGTCTTTTATTTGTTTCCAGGCCGGCTGCACGCGAATATAATTAAAAATATCTACCTTTGTATATTCGATAGGGTTTTCACATGCTAGACAATTTGTTTGAAACAATATTCAAAGTAAGATAATAAGATAAACCTTATAATGCATTTTTATGATAAGTAACAGACTGTCGACACGTTGCCAACAAGATTTAAAATTTTAATTTTTACATTGTGATATTGTAATTCTACTGAAGTTATGAGTATTCATTGTATTGTTAAAACACAGTCGTACAAAACATTTGTTTTTTAAACAAGCACCCAAAGACAAACACATATGTTTAAAAGAATTAGAAGATAGGGGTAGGCGATAGGGGGTGGGATATAGGGGGTAGGAAATAGGGGTAGGAGGTATGGTTGGAAGATAGGGGTGGGAGATTTGTTGTATTTCCTATGAATTGTTTAAGGCCAGATATTATGAAATCACTAAAATATAAGCCAGAAACTTGATATGTTTACTAGCCACCTTAAATACTAGATTGTTAATATACTATTTCATTATCTATAATTCCACCACTACTCCAAATTTATTCGGTACTTCAACGAGACGTGAAAATGCTCTTTCGCGGTTGCAGACTCGGTTGAAAAACATTTTTTTTATATGGTTTCATTCAAAAACAACCACTAGATCGCGCCACAGGTACAAATTTTACTCGGTAACGTTGAGCGCGACGAACAGATTTTCTTATTGACCCCGGCCAAAAGACATATCCATGTCAGTTGGTTCTATAGGATCTTGTTGAAACCGTTTTTTTTAATTAAGGTTGCTGGCAAGGGTTCCTAACAAAGAAATGTTATCGAACTTGTTTACTTACTGACTTAGGCATAAGATTTAAAAAAAAATTTTAATTTTAATGATATATTGTTTAATTGGCTAAAATTTCAAAATATTCGCTATCTTCTTGAATCACTTTATAATTTGTCCGGTTGCGTACATAAAATACAAGTAAATAAATAAAAACAAATGTTGCACAATAATAAAAAACAAATAAAACATAACCGTTTCAGTAACGTATCAACTTTAGCAAAGAGGCATATCCTATATTGTCCATGTTATAAAAAAACAATTATAATAATTATCATGGACCATAAGAAAAACAAGTTATTCCACTTCAACCTAATTACTTATAACCAAAAATAATGTTTTGACGTACATTAAATTCACCGTTTTTCTTTGTATTTAAATAAAACAATGTATGTTATAAATGTGTTTTAGGTGGTACAAAATTATTCTTAAATCATTTCATACATTTCTTTTGACTGTCTTTTGGCGCTTGTTTAAAGACAGATATTATTTTTGGTTACGTGTAAACAACACGGTGAATACTCGTGTAAGAATGCAAAATTTAAAAAAAACAAGAAAATATAAATTTTACAATCGTCTTAGTGACGTGCCAACTGTTCGTTTCATACGTTTAGTTTACGCTAAGTAATGATGTATTGTAAAGTTTATTTTATCGTTTTACTTTTTGTATTATTCCAAACAAATTGTATGGCATGTGAAAACCTCGAAGAAATAGATAAGTTTGATCTTATAAATAGTATTCGCACGGAGCAGGGCTGGAGAGAAATAAAAGGCATAGTGATCAAGGACCCTATGGAAGGTAAATTTACTATCGAAGATCTAACAGAAAAAATTATTCGGGAAGACAACTACGACAAGGCCGTCGAACGATTCATATTGTTTTTGAGTTGCAGATATGTCCAACACTTGAAAGCGCTCAGGCTTACATGGTTGGGCTTTGTCGAAGGTTGTCGTGAAGAAGAAGAGAAAATGAGTTTCACATTTTGCGTTAGTAAACTATATTGTGTGTTCAGAGAGTCAAAACAGATGTTGATTCACATGACAGATGGTTTGGTCGACTTGGAAAAACTTTCATCGAATACATCTAGATTTTATCACAGATATCGTAGCCTGATAATGAACTTTAAAGAAGTCGTATTGGGTCACATTAATCAATATCCAAATCCGGATTTTATGAACAAGGACGACGAAATCAACGAGCAATTTACTGAAGACGTATATCAAAGTATTTCTGATAAAGTTAGACAGCGACTTAATTTTTGGGATAATGAAAGAGATAAAGGTTGTGCTATACAAACATCTTCTTTGACTTATTTTCGTTTATTGAAAGGATACAATAATTTATCGGATAAGTCAGCATTTTCAAACGATGAATACGTTTATGTTAGTAAACGACTTAATGGGTTTTATGATAATGTAATAGAAAATGATTATTTTAAACTTGGTTTAGATAAGTTAAAAAAATATAAAATCAAATAAATTTTCCTTTCATTACCAAATACAAATACAATTCATTCTATCACAAACTATCTTATAACCAAAATAATGTTTCGACGTTTTTGTTGGTAGTACCTACCAACGTTTAACCAGCATTTTATTGGCATTTTTTTTTTTTTTTTGTTATAATGGATATATGGTTTGTCGAGAGTATGTGTTTATATGAAGGGCTTTAAAAAATATGGCAAATATTATAAATCAGAAAATTTTGATTGTTGTAGGTGCAATAAATAATGTCTAATAATATTTCTTTGATGTTGACACAAGATTAATTATTTTTCTTTAAGGTCTATTATTTAAATTAATATTTTAATTAGTACACTTAAAATGTTTAAGTTTAAATTATCATTATTAAAGAAAAATATAAATTGTAAATTGAAATTTAATGATAACATTACTAAAAAAAAAATGATAAAATTCAAAATCCATAGTAGGTAATTTTTTGTACCTATTTTTTTTTTGTCAAACTTAAAATAATAATTATGTGTGGTACATGGATACAATTAAAATTAATACTATAATTTGTACAGATACAATCTATTGATTTATTATCTCTTTAAATTAGTTTAAATTCTTTATATTAAAAAAAATGTATTGTACAGTATAAATTGGAAAATTTTAAATCTGTGTTCGGTAATTATTTGTATGGATACTTCAATTTTTTTTCGTCAAATGTTAAAATACAAATTTTGTTTGTTAAATCATTGATACATTGTTATTTTACAATTTAAAACGAATATAAAATACTGTCAGTTTAATAAAAATCGCATTTTATTTTTCATTTGCTCTATTTAATCCCTATGAGTTATGGAAAGAATCTTTGTTCGCATTTGCAAAATATAAAGTTTTAGGCCATACAATTGCTTGCAAAAAAAGTTATATCGACATAGTTCTTTGTAGCGGTGAAATAGTACTGTACAAGTCCAACAAAACTTTGAATCATAAGATGCAAGTCTCACACTTAGGTATAAAATTTAATAATTATAAATATAATTTTATAAAAAGGAAAATTGGAGTAGGACAAGTTCCATTTTTTCTCCCTAAAATATACATATTTTATTTTATAATAATATATAATATTTATGTATAATTTTAAATTATTTTAATTTATTATAATACATTAGTTCGCAAGGTTTACTTCGGATAACAAATGTATAGATTATTCAATTTATTTTTGTCAATTTTAAAACATGAATTATGTTTGAAAAATGTGTAATACAATGTTGTTTTACAGTTTTAAAAAACATAAAATGTTTTAAATTTAATTAAAATTAATTTTTTTTTTATTTGTATTTTATTTATAATAACATCTAGTTAAAAAAAAAGATTCAAATCTGCGAATGAGTTTTTGTAACAATATAATTGCTTTAAAATAAAGGGAAACAGAAATTTGGCCTCGTAGAGATGTTGAACCACATAACAAACGGTTTAGCGTTACAGCTAAAATTTAAAAAGGTAATGAAAATCTTTATACCTACTTGATCAATTATCTTGTGCAAATACAATGTGAATACATTTAAACGGTATAAATCCAGTTTCGGAATTTGTAAATAAAATTGAAATTTTGCAAAAAGTGTCTTGTCCAATGCATTTGCTTACATATTTTCTTTTTTAAACGGATTTAAATTTTTTTAAATTTATGCTCTCAAAATAAAATAATTCTTAAAAAACTGTTAAACCTAGTACCACTTGTATTGTTGAAATTCTACAATATTTGAAATTTAAATACAATTTATTTTAAATTGTTCTTAACTCCTTTCCAACGTAAGATATTGATTGTGATATAAAATGTTGCCCCAAACTCTGAAAAAAATATGCTTCAAACTACTAATAATTATCATGACACATAGGAACACCAGTTTTTCACAAAAACTAGTATTATAACCAAAATAATATTTTTTTAGCTTTAATGCGAAACATGCGATACTGTATATTTTAAATATGAAGGGCGCAGGGAAAATATGGTAATAGTCACATTATGAACATTTTAGAGTATAGCAAAACCAAAGTTCGAGAATTCCTCTCCCTCTTACATAATAACAAAAAAAATCACTTTAAATGCTACTCTACTAAAAATGTAGTTAAATTATTTCATACAATTCTCTCAAACATATGTGTTTGTCTTGTGGTTAAAAAACAAATGTTTTGTGCGACTGTGTGTTAACAGTGCAATGAATACTCGTTCTACTCACTTAAGTAGAATTACACTATAACAGTGTAAAAATAAAAATTTCAAATCTTGTTAGTAACTAGTCGACAGTCCGTTTCTTATCATAAAAATGCATAATAAAGTTTATTTTATTATCTTACTTACACTACTGTTTCAAACAAATTGTCTAGCATGTGAAAACCCAGTCGAAAAAATAAAGATTGGTTTTTTAAATTATATTCGCGTGCAGCCAGGCTGGGAAAAAATAAAAGGCATACAAATAAAAGGTAAAATTAAAATGGACGTTCTAATAAAAACAAAGATCCGCGAAGACAGCTTGAACAACACTCTCCAACACTTCATATTATTCTTAAGTTGTAGATATGTACAACGGTTGAACATGCTGAGGATCAATTGGCTGGGCTTTGTAAAAAGTTGCCAAAATGCAAAGAAAGAGAAAAGTAATACAAAAATTAATTTTGCGTTTTGTGTTATGAAACTAGATAGTGTGTTGAGAGAGTCAAGTGAGATGTTGGTATGCATGACAAACGGTTTGGCTGACATGGAAAAACTTTCTTTGAATGCAACTTCAGCCAAATCTAAATATTCTCACATATATATTAATTTAATAAAGCAATATAAATCACTCGTATTTGAACACATTAATCAATATCAAAACCCGGATTTTTTAAACGAAGATGACAACATTAATGAAAACTTAACTGAGGAAATATTTCAAAATATTACTGGTGTGGTAAGAGACAAAATGAATTTTTCAAAGCTTGATGTAAATAAAGGCTGTAGTATAAAAAGACAATTGTATATGAGTTATTATTATTTATTGAAAAGATACAATAAATTGTTGGATAAGTCACTATTTTCAGACGATGAATACGTTTATGTTAGTGAAAAACTTAAGTTGTATTACAGAAGTGTAATCGTAGAAGATTACTACAACCTCGGATTGAATAGTTTAAAAAATTTACCACAAACTAAAAATAATTATCAAGTCCGGAGAGAAACACAAGCTGTTTCACTGCAACCTAATGAATAACCAAAAAGGATATTTTTAAACAAAGATGACGAAACTTAAAAGATAACACATAGATAACAAAGATAACCAGTTTTTTATATATATTTTTGAAGTTATTTGAAATTTCAAGTTTAGGGCAGGAGAATTTAGAAATAGTTAGTATACCGCGCACTTCACCTTCCTATATTTCAAACTTTTATAACCTTAAAAATAGTTCTTCAAGAGTGGTTGTCAACCTTTCAAATTTTTTAGTAAAATATTCTTAATTTAATAAGACAATAAAATATGTACGTTTTTTGAGATATTGAGGTACATTGTTTAAAAACACTCTGCAAAAATAAAAACCTAATCACTAAATAAACTTTATGATAAATTGTATTGTTCCAGAAAATCAAATTACCCCCGTATATGAACTGAATATTTTAGTTGTATTTTATTCCTAATTTCCTCGAGTGGTAAATCAACTCTATGTACTTTGTTTTTCCACTATATTTTGTAAATTTTTTTTGTTTATTTAAATTGATTTATTAATTTTTACATACAATTTATCGATTTATAATCGTTTTAGTTTACGATTATTATTAATTATGTATACTTTAAATTACTTCAATTTGTATTAATTGATTTATGTTTTTACTGTATGACTGGTGTGAAAAACAGATAACTTTTCATCGCTACTTAGTTGTATTGGTTCGTTGTTTTACGTATATCTAAGTCAGTTTTTTATTGTGTTTTGTTGTTGAAATAAAAAAATTGATGATCGGACACCACAAATACGGTGTAACGGATACCACTAATCTAAAAAAATATGACCCTCGAAAACTTGATTTTATTTTTAAGTTGCAGGTAAATTCAATGTTTGACAACGGTTTGGACTACATGGATGGGCTTTATGAAAAGCTTTAAGCGAGAAAGGACCAAAAAAATGTATGTCAGATTTTCATTTTGTGTTAGTAAACTTTGTGATATTATGATTAAAGAGACATAACCGATGTTGGTATACATGAGTAATGGTTTGGCTGATCCAACCTTTATGAGTTTTTGCTGCTTATTGTCTAAGTACAAACAGTTAAGAATAAGTCTCGGTTTTCTATGATACTATCAAACTAATAGTAATCATTATAACCCAATAGAAACACAAGTTATTTCATGACAACTCACAAAATAGTATTTGCTTTTGTTTTTTGCGGTACATTAAATTCACCGTTTATCTCAAGAAATATCCAGACGATGTGTGTTTCAAATGTATTTAGGTTATTCAAAATTCTTCCTAAATCATTTCGTACCTTATTTTTTGGATAACAGTGTTTGTTTTTCGGTGCTTGTTTAAAAACATTTGTTTTTTTAGACTAAGTGTAAACAATACGAAAATACTCGTATCTTAAAGTAGAACTGTTAGTCTTATTAGTGTCTAATGTTCGTTTCCCATCGTTAAGATGCAATATACAGTTTATTTCGTTATCCCGCTTTCAATAATGTTTCAAACAAATTGTTTAACATGCGAAAACCCTGTCGAAAAAACGAAGATTGATCTTTTAAATTATATTCGCGTGCAACCGGCCTGGAAACAAATAAAAGGCATACGGATCAAGGATAAAATTAATATGGATGTTCTAACGAGCACACAGATCCGCAAAGACAACTATGACAAAGCTCTGCAATACTTCATATTATTTTTAAGTTGCAGGTATATTCAACGATTGAAAATGCTTAGGGCTACTTGGCTGGGCTTTGTCAAAAGTTGTCGAAGTGTAAAGATCAATAAAACCGCCACGAAAGTCAGTTTTGCTTTTTGCGTTATGCAACTTCATTGTACGTTCAAAGACTCGAGTCAGATGTTGGTGTACATGACAAACGGTTTGGCTGACATGGAAAAACTTTCGTTGAGTACAACAGCTTTATGCCAGTCCAATTATTATCACACATATCGTAAGATAATAGTGCACTTTAAATCGCTCGTGTTTGATTACATTTATCAACATCCGTACCCGGATTTTTTGAACGAAGACGACGACATCAACGAAAACTTAACCGAGGACATATTTCGAAGCATCGCTGATGTGGTAAGAGACGAAATGGAAATGTTTAGGATTAATGTGAATAAAGGTTGCAGTATTACCAGACGATCTAACATGA